AATTGGGTGGGGCGGGGTCTCAGGGAATCAGGGCGAAGCAAACCGCAATGGTTGCTCTGCCTGAGAGAGGTCCCAAGGTCTCTGTGTCCTGCGGCCCCATGCAGGAACAATGATCACTGCAAGCACCTCTGCGGGAAAGCCGCCCTCGCGTTCTGGTTCAATGCCAGACAGTCCAGTTTCTTCCCATATGAGTCTGGGTTCCAAGAGTCTCACCCTTTCACCTCTGTACCTCCTACCAGCTTTAATGTGCTTTTCTCTTTCCTTCTAGTTATAGAATTTCCACTTAGCCAGCCTTCCCATGGTTCTGGATGATATTCATTTTGTCTTTTAGTTGTAGTTTTGATGTGGTTGTGTGAGGCAGCAAGTACAATTGTGTACCTATGCTGCCATCTTGGTTCCTCTCGAAGCTTTTTGTTGTTGTTGTTGCCCACAAAAACTTAAAGCTTGTGTATTTGGCCCATGTTAGCCTTTGAGTTTGACATGCTTGCTCTACAGTAAACATTCCCAACACAAAGCAAGTACACAGGCAGGTGAGGAAGGGTACTGTACTGGAGCCTGCAAGTAGAGGACAGCTCAACCAAGTTAAGTCTACATCCCAGGTCCCCTATAATAGGCCTAGTGTAGACCTCTGTAAGCCATCTGGTTTCAAGACACATATCTTCTATATATGCTAAATATGTCATTGTACATTACACCTTCTTGTCCCACCTAATGGTTATCCTAAAAACATAATACACTAGTCCCCATTTTTCCACAGGGAATTCACTCCAAATCTCCCAGTGAATACCTGAAACAACAAATAGCACTGAACTCTCTATATACTATGGTTTTTCTATACATACATGATAAAGTTTAATTTATAAATTAAGCAAGTAAAAGGTTAACAATAATAATTAAAAATAAAATAGAAAATTATAACAATATATTGTAATAAAAGTTATGTGAATGAGGTCTCCCTCTCTCTCGTACTGCACTGTGCTCACCCTTATCATGATGATGTGAGATGATACAATGCCTGCGTGATGAGATGAAGTGAGGAGAATGACATAGGCCAGTAGTCGGCAAAATGTGGCTCAGCCAACTGCGGCTTGCGAGCCACATGCGGCTCTTTGGAAGAGTGTGGCTCTTCCACAAAATACCGACTTCTGCGCATGGGCCACGAAGTTTCAATCACACTGTATGTGCGCGCCGCACGTGGTATTTTGTGGAAGGGCCACATTCAAGGGGCCACAGAGCCGCATGTGGCTCACAACCCGCAGTTTGCCGACCATGGACAGGCATAATGATATTGCCTTAGGCTACTATAAGGACTACTTGAACACAAACATTGCAATACCGGGATAACCGATCTGATAACCCAGATGGCTACCAAGTGACTAATAGGTGGATATGCTAGACAAAGGGATGATTCAAGATGGGCAAGATTTCATCACACTAGTCAGAAGAGTTTTCCATTTAAAACAATGAACTGCTTATTTCTAAAATTTTCCATTTAATATTTTCAGACCATGGCTGATCGCAGATAACTGAAATGGAAAGCAAAACTGTGAATAAGGGGCGACTTCTGTACAGACATAGGTCTAAGACAGGGTGGGGAATTTTTTTCTGCCAAGGGGCCATTTGGCTATTTATAACATCACTTACCGGCCATAGAAAATATCAACTTAAACTTAGCCTGCTATATTTGGTCAAACATTTAATTAATTCACCCCAATGCGTTGGCAAGGCCAGACCAAAAGGATTTTGTGGGCCTTATACTGCCTGCAGGCCGGAACGTTCCCCAACCCTGGTCTAAGATAACAATCCCTTAAAAAATTGTTATTAAATAAATATAAAGATTCTAAAATAGCATGAAATAAATAGGATTTATCTAAATCTGAAAATTCACAAGTCACACATTTTTTCCTCTAAACTTACAAATAATTTCAACCAAGCTATTATCAGAGAATTATTTAAAACAAATTTCAGGGTACTTCCTATCTCTTGAATGCATACAGCCCTGACATAACTAATATTCACAATGACCTCAACATCTTTGTATCATGTGGTAACTGATAAGGAATATGAATGTGAGCATCTGAAAGGATCCAAATCACACAAAACCTGTCTAAAGTAGTTTTAAAAGAAGAAAAAAAATCAGTTTCCAGACAAAACAAGTTCTTATTGTTCATTACAGAAAACTTAAGTTAGAATAATTTTATGACTAAATGTATTGAGAACATGCGGTTGAAGATTTATATTTTATTTAAAGCATAACTATTACAATTCCTGTAAGAATATTAAAGTATTCACACCACAAATTTTCCTATTACATTATACAAACATAAGCTCACTTAAATGAAATCAGTATCAGAGCTCAAGTTTTTAAGCAGTATAATTTAATTAAACACTTCTAATCTATGCAAATAGGTTTTTCCAAAGGAGTATATTTTTTCTAAACTATGCTATTTTGTTTTAATAAATCAAGCATAGTATCAATAAAAATGCAATAATAGGAGCTATCCTATATTTCATGTCAAAATATATTCTTTCTGAGACTTTGCTTATTACTCAAGAAGGCTACAAAAGACAGAAAAGCATTTATAAAGAGCAATCAGTATTCAATTGTTATAATAAAGAAGCTTTCTGAACATAACTGGGAGATGATGGTGATGGTCATAATGATGGTAAGGGTGACAACAATTTTAATGACTTAGTCTAAGATGCTTTTACTGGGGAGGGAAAAAAAATCCTGATAAAATGTCATTAAAACTTATTTATAGGTCATCTTACTAATTGTAAGTCCAGTGTGCTATTTTATAATTCTCTAAGCGCAAAAATTACATCTCTAAGAAAATACCAAAGCCATTCATTTACTTATTTTTCTAACTCCTCAGCAATGGCTTGCAGCATGACAGATGTCATGAAAATGTACTTAAGACCCATCTGTACCATTAGAAGCTTCTTCCACCCTCCTTTACTGCCATACAATTCCTATGGCTCATCTTGGATGGTTTAATCCTTAAGTTAGAGAAAGACTAGACTGAAAACATCATGTGGTAACTGATAAAGAATATAAATCAGAGCACCTTAAAGGGTCCAAATCACACAAAACCTGTCTAAAGTAGTTTTAAAAGAAGGAAAAATATGCCAAAAAAAAAATCAGTTTGCCAGACAGAAAATTCAATGATTTTCACAAATGCCAAAAGGCTAATCATGAAGTTTTCTATAATGTTAATTAAATTATATCTTAAGAGAGAAGGAAAGAACAGATATATATGCAACAAATTAGGTTATTCAAATTTTGTCAAAGATTTGAAAATTCAGGTATAGCCTACACCGTACCAAAACTCTGAGCATTAGATAATGGCTGAGGACAAACACTCAATAATGATATAGCTAACAAAACAAAGTCCAACAACATTTTCCTCTAGTGAAATAAAGTTAATAAGTTAGACAGACCTTTTAGTTTCCTCTGTGACATTTTCAGTTGTCAATTAAAAAGGATTAAAATGTAAAGGCATTTGGAGTTTCCCAAAGGATCAGATAGTGAGGAAAATAGAACGTAATAAAGAAAACAACTCTCCATTATGTCTCAAGAGCCAGACAACAAAACACTTCAGGTTACCTCAATGTCACTTGTGAAAAAAGAGTCCCTGAGCCAACCTTTCTAAGCAATGTTCAATAAATTAAAAAAAAAAAACTGTAATAAAGCCATATATTATGTGTTCTTCAGCCAATTTATTCAATTAACCCATATCTGCAGAGGGTCCACAGGGTATTATATCACTTACGAGAGAAATTCTAAAAGAAGATAAAATATATTCTTTGACTTCCAGGCCTCTGTTAGTCAATGTCAGAAAAAAGAAAATAAAATCAATACAGTATAGGGAATCCATAGACGTTATAGATTGGGAAACTATCAATATTATTGGTTTTTTTTTTAAAAAAAAAAACCTGAGACTTTTTAAGCAATAGGAAGTAAATGCAGGCAGGGCAAAACAAAAGATAAGAACCCAAGGATGTGATAAAGAACAGTGAGGGTAATTCAAAGCAGAAAGGCACAAGCTTTCCACATATGCATCTATGTAGACAGCAACACTGTAGCAATCAGAGGCAGAGATGGGGACATGATGACTGGTAACAGCTGCAAAACGTGCAACTGAAAACTGAGCCACAAGGCTAAGGGATAGCAATAGCCATTATCCAATGGGAGTGTTCACCAAAATTACAGATATATTAGAGATTTCATAAATAGAAGAGGTTTACTACTTACCCGATTTATATGGTTGCTCCTTAAAATAATGTGCAGTAGAGTTTTCTCAAATTCTTCCAACTTCTTGGAACACGTTTTAAGAATATGACTAGATAAGCTACAATCACTGAGCAGTCTAGCTAAAGTAGCAACAGCTTCTGTCCAAAAGCTTGACAGAGGAAATTTTGGGTCACGGTAAAAAGTGATCAGGCCTTCTAGCAACTGAAAAACAGAATCAGATACCGTGGAAGAGGTGCTCTCCAAGTGGCTTAAGTCTGTTTTAAGACTCCCTGATTCTGTCCAGTTCTTCAGTTGAAGTAGATGTTGCAAAAATTGCACGTGAGAAGACAAAGGATTTTTTGAAGTCGCACAGT